AATTTTACTCAAGCAAAGGATTGTTTTCAGAAGTTAACTCTGATATCATCTTAAATATCATGAAATCATTTTAATTTAAGACTGTTGAAAAACATGGAAGTTATAAATTAGACTAAATAATGTAAACTACTCATTAGTAATATATAAGAATTATCGACGAAATTTGACCGAACAGTTTCATAGTATTTGGGCACCAAATTAACGTGAGATATTAAGGAGGATGAATTCTTTGGTTGAGATTTTACAAATACATTCATCCTCCTTAATATTTATTAGTAAGTTACTAATTTTATTAATAATTTAACTAGTGGTACCTTCTACCTTCAATCAAATACAAGTATTCTTTGTTATTGATTTCCTTCAACGTAAAAATGACAAAATACTAAATTTGATATTTACTTTGTATTGTTTGTTTGGATCTTCCCATTGATGTTTTTAGGACTGCAACTGGTCATTCTCTAATTGGCATATGTACATACTGTGCGCGTCCTGGATTCCACTTCTAGCCACTATCCATCTTTGCTTATAATGCTTGTGAATTTAGGCTATATCGAGGCAATACGCATAGTATGCACATATGCCAATTAGAGACTGAGCAATTGCAGTCTTAAAAACATCAATGGGAAGAGCCAAACAGGCAATACTAAGTAAATTTAAACTTCACTCCATTGCACGAGCATGTTGGCTATCAGGACTCAGTGGCCGAGTGGATAACGCCTTGGCGTTTGAAGCGAAAGATAATGGGTTCGAGTCCCAGAGTGAACATCAACTCTGAGATGTAGGTACATCCAGCTGACGAGTCCCAAATAGTACGAAGCGCGCGTCTTGGATTCCACTGCTAGCCACTATCCATCTTTGCTTACCACACTAAATTTGATGTTTCGTTACAGCCATATGTGCCTTTTCACTGCTTAAGATGATAGACTTACAAAAAAACTTTCTTCATGAATAAACACTCCAAACGATCAAGGGTTTGTAATTTTTCGTCGTTGATATTCAGAACTATAATTCATAAGCCTCCATTTACATATATATCTTAAGAGGAATTTTTCGATAATCAATTCTTCACAAATTTTAGTACACTAGGTATACGTTTTAAACATAAACACTGAGATGTTAATATATAAAAATGATGAGTCCTAAGCAGGACGAAATGTGCTTCCTGTATTCTGTTCATAAAACAGTTCAATTATAGCAATATCGGTTAAAGTTAAAAGAACAAAATGTATTAACGTGGCCACTTTATCCAGCTACGTAGTTAGCCTAGTGTATTGCTGAAAAAAACTTTAAAATTTTAGAAGCTTTGAGCACTCAATATTTCTTTCTAGTGAGTATCAATACATATACATATATAGAATCAATAATTTGTTCCTTATCATCACTAGATTTAACTGTACGTATAGCTAAGTTTGAATCATTACTCCATCCATTCTAGAATGAATTTAATTCTGGTCTGATTTTGTTAATTACAAAGATATCAAAACACTACGTCAAAGAAAAATCATTGTTGTATAGAAAAATCATCATGAAAAGAAAATTCTATGTTAGAATACAGAGTTCTGTTAGTCTCATTGTTTGAAAAGTTATTAATATCCAAAATAAAAATCAAATTTATCTTGTTTATTTATGTTATATTCCGAAGCGATTTATGAATGGTAACTTCTGAGAACTATTTGTGGACCACTATGATACGTATATTTCCTATTGTATAATTATTAAGTAACTTAAATATTCATATTCATGTTTATTATAGACTTTATTATGACCCATAGACTATTACTATACGATTTACCATTCTTGAGTTATCCCTACTCCATTAATTACTGTTCCCCTTATTCACAGCCACATTTCGCTAAATCTTGCACAGATGTTATTTTCTATTTTATGGTACGATATGGTCAGTTTGCTTGGTATATAAACCCAGTATGTTTGAGAATAATGATTCGTATTGCAGAGGCTGTTATTGGTGTTATTGGCTAGGCGTAAAGTCGGACTGATAAGTGCTCAAGAGTGCTCAAGAGTGTATTATTAATCCGATCGATAATTCACTCCTCCTTAATTGGCGGTCTTATCACTCATGTGTATAAACAGGGAGTCCAGACAGGCACACGATATAACAATTTAATTCTAATATAAATGAAAAGTATTAAGTTTTAACTCAACAATATAAAATCTACCACTAAAGTCGATTCTTAACTTTGTGTACTTTGCGAGATTTATATCGTTCATGAGACATACATCTCACAAAGTACACGAAGCTTCAAAGTGAAAATTTACTAGAACTATTAAACTCTTAGTATTTAAATAGATCAGTCCTTTTTGAATCTCATTCATATGTTTTCACAAGTTTTCAAACTACAATAATTAAAAGATAATTCAATCACATCAAAATATTCAACACAAATGATAATTTATGTTTAAAGAAAAAAGTATACAGGTGAAAGTATTCAGTAGTATCGAAATTAGTCACGCAAAATATCAAAATTATGAAATGAATTAATGAGAAATAATTAAGAAAATGGTGAGATGAAAAGACAAAACTTTCACACTTATTCATGTTAAGTTTTATATTTATAAATATTGTAGACAAGTGATTTATGTTAATTGACTGTCTGATGAATACTTTTAGGATTATTACTTTATGAGATTTCGGATGACATACACCTGGAAAAAAAAGAAGGATATATACAACACTTTTGATTAACTCTAGAGATTATTATTATTTCCTAAATATATATTTAATTTAAAAGATCAATTTACGGATAGTAAACAATGTCTTGCTTTATATAGTTGAAATCATGAGTCAATTGAAGATAGATTACCATGGAGAACTTGAAAGCACTGGACGGCCGTTTCGTACTATTGTGCGACTCCTCAACTATATATAAAAATTACTAAAAAATCTCCACAAATAACCTCCTTATCATATGTTCACTAGTGACTAGGCCCATGAGGTATTTCCTGGAGTTCTAGTGAGAAGCCGTAACCAGTGGAGTTCAACCAGGTCTGTTGGGAGATATCAACTCACTGAAGCCATTGGTGAAATGGTTGCTCAACTTGGTGGATTGGTTGAAGATAGACATCAACACCAGTGGACGGCTGCCTGCTCACTGGTCTAATGGTTAAGTACTCGCGCGCGAGACTGGTAGGTCCTGGGTTCGAATATCGCGAGGTGTGATCGTGGATGCACACTGCTGAGGAGTCCCATAATAGGACGAAACGGCCGTCCAGTGCTTCCAGGTTTCCCAAAATGATCTAGCTTCAATTAACTTATGATTTCAACTATATATAAAAGTTTAATTTATAGTAAATCGACTATGATTAAAAAGAGAAAAAAAATTAAATAAAATGTATTACTGTCTATTAAGCCTTTAAATATGTTGTATATAATTAGGAATTGTCATAAAAGGAATCTATAAATCATTCATAAATATTAACTAATACTACTTATTATTCACAGGATTATTTTAAAAGTTTATAGTAGTACATCTTTTTCTAGAAAAAAAGATTTATCATTTATTCAACTATTTATCAGACACGTGTTTTAAATTTATATAACTTCTAAAGCGAATAATATTTTACAAACTATTCAAAAACACCCAAAGTAGTAGTGTAGTGAACAAGAACACTAGTAGGGACAATCGAATGTATTCAAGCTTAAATTACAGATTATCTCACTAAATTCTGATAACCATATTGTAAACAGTTAATTTGCAAAATAACAATCAAATGTCTCAATCTTAACTGTTCCTTCTGCAAATATCAGTCCGTCTTTTTTTTCTTTTGTAAAATACACAATCAATTGTCTCAATCTTAACTGTTCCTTCTGCAAATATCAGTAGTTCTTCTCTGATTTCATTGTTCATGCATTTTCGTACCGATTGAGCTTCTATCCTGTTCGTCCCTTATCGATCTTCTTCCAAAATATATTAATTTAAGGAATCCAACAATAGAACGAAACGGTTGTCCAGTGCTTCCAGATTTTCCCTGATGATCTAGCTTCAATCGACTCACGCTTTCAACTATGAACATTCTATGTTTGACCATCACCATATACTACTTATATGGATATAAGTAGACAATATCACAGTAGTATTAGTAGTAGTATAATAGTAAATTCCATAAAATAAATTTCATTTTAAACTTAATACAAATGTACATTATTATCATTATAACTATTAAAGTAGTTGAGTTGTTAGTACAAAAAATAATAATAAAATTTAATCAAATAAGAAGTAAAAAAAGAACTGGAATTAAATTCACTTAGTATTGTTTGATTGGATCTTCCCATCAATGTGTTTAGGACTGCAACTGGTCAGTCTCTAATTGGCATATGTGCATACTGTGCGTATTGCCTCGATATACCTTAATTCACAAGCATGGTAAGCAGAGATGGATAGTGGCTAGCGAGGGTACTGGGTTCGAGTCCCAGAGTGAACATCAACTCTGAGATGCAGGTACATCCAGCTGACGAGTCCCAAATAGGACGAAACGCGCGTCCTGGATTCCACTGCTAGCCACTATACATCTCTGCTTACCAAAACTGGAATTAGTTATTCTCAACTAATTAATTACAATGCAGGTATGTTCTTACTTATTACAATTTTTAATTGGTTAATAGTTTTTCTCATAAAATTAAGGACACAATAAAAATGGATCAATTAAAAAGTGATTTTAATAAAATCAGAATAATTTAATAATTTATATGAAACAATCACTAAGTGTTGATGCTTAATTTCAATGTTTCAATTATATTAATTCAATAAAAGAAAAAGAACTAGTCTGCTGACATACTTTATTTAAGGTCGTATTTCTTTAGATGTATTAAGGTGTAAAAAGAAACAACAGATATATAAATATATGTAAAAAGAATAAGTAAGATGAATGATTATTCCCAATATTTCCCTTCATATCTATGATTATAGTCCAAACCAAATTTGTGACATATCATAATAATTTCAACAAAAAAAAACAACTAAGAAGATTGATTAGTTCTTTCTATGAATTCATTAAATTCCATTGAATCAAGATCACGTTCAGAAGATTTACAATTAGCTGATATACATATTTATGTGATACCACCAAATTTATGGATTAATGATTTAAATACAGCATTTTCTCAAGTGATTAAAAATACAGTTTCAGCTGGAATAATTCGTTCAAAAATTGATATAACTTTAGCTGAATTTCGTGAAATTTTAGAAAAAAAATTAGAAGAACAAATTTTACCAAATGATTATATATTTTGTAAACAAGTTGGACATTCACTTGGTCGTGTAATATCAAATTTTTATAATATTTCTAATTTCTTTCGTTTTATTCTAGATTCAATCAAGTCAAGAACCATTGTTTAAAGTCAGTGAGTTTCTTCCTCCCCAAGTAAGTAACATGTATAATGTTGTTTGAAATTGTAATGTAAATGAGCACACACCCCCGTCACATGCAAATCCATACATTTGATTTTGATATGAATCCTTAAGTGGTTAGTAATAAGACGTGAAATACGTGTAATGGTATTTAGATCTTTAACCTAGTGACTGAAGTAGAATGCTTTGACCATCAATCTACGATTCAATGAATATGGTCATTACAGACATATACTGTTAATCCTACTTCAAAACTAGTTTCACAACGAAGTATAAATTTACTTTAAAATGAATAACTTTCAGTTTGATATCGATTATTCAGACAGCTTTAAGTGGAGATAAATTCCCTTTATATAACTATAACATAAAACATATCAGAGGAAAATCTATGTTTTAAAAAACAATCCATTTGTTATATTTAACGATCATGATTCTTTGTTTTAGTTAATGAAGTGATTCATTTTGTTTATTCAGAGTCTTATAAATCGTTTGTTGATCGAATTACTAGTAGCTCTTAAATGTTTTCATTGAATTTTACTAAGAAGATCGTTGTAGTAACTTTTAGGTTGGTACTGACTGATGATGATTCAGATCTGCCTACACTTACTGCTCTTTGATCACCTCAGTGAATTTTCTATAAATTTTTTAAGTACGCATTTATTCACATAGATTTCAGTGTGCATATATGTTTATGACTAAATTTAATTTGTTTAGAGTGGAAGTGAACTGAGTATAATCTTTATCAACCTAAGTCTCTAGTGATCATCAGTGCTCTAAGTCATTGTTTATATGGATAACCGTAGTTTCAGATAGCTAACTGTCGAGGATTGAAATGATTCCCAATTTTCTCGAACTATTAAATGAATGGCAGTTTTGAAAGCGTATCAGACTAGATTTTAGCAATTTTCACTGTCATAATACTAATCATAAAGAATGGATTTTATTACCATTAATACGTTATATTTAAAGGTATTATCAGTTGTCTTTCGATAGAAATTTATAAAAGGGACTAAGGACTTTAAATTATCAGTTGCGTTGTTAGGACAAATCTATTGTAATATCAGTTGCCATATATAGCCAAAAGTAATTTCGATACTAATTAAGTAAAAAATAATTTGTATTAACCTAGTACTTTATATAGAAATATTTTCCACTCATTTAAATGTGACATTTATTTCACACAAAGTGTATTATAAGTTTAAAAGAAATTTTTGCTGTTCTATTTTGAGAAGGATGTTTTCATCGGTTAGTTTCATTGTGTTTCATAGGGTTGTCACAGATAATTCATACCTATCAATAACTTCTCCGAAGGTGGAATTTCACCATTTTGCATAACTCAGATTCATTGGCCTGAACTGTATTTTCTTTTAATATTGGATATTCTGAATGTATATTCAGTAACGTCTTATTGGTACTGTGATTGTTCTAAGAATGTTCATTGTTTTTCCCCTTTCGCTTGGTTCATCTAAATGAATAAATATTTCACATGCTCACTTGCCCTTTCAAATAGATTTTAAGTGCATCTAAATAAAGTCTCCATGGTAAACTGTAATTCTGAAATTCCTTTAGTTACCAAAATACTTTTAGAAAAGTGCCAAGTTATTATATAAGTAAACTGGACAAAGAAAATTGATAATAAACCGTTTATTTTCTTTTTAACATTTCACTGGTCACTGTTCATGTGGTAACACATTCCAGTACACCCATGTGTGATCAATTCATTTTTACATACCGTTGCATATGATAATACAGAGTATGTAATTGAAATGCACAATTCTTTCTGATTACTAAACTACAAGCGATGGTTATGTAGTGTAATGGTAACATCAGAATTCACTTGGATTTCCTTTAAACCACTTTTCATTTAAATCTTACTAAGGTGAGGCATAACAGGCTTCTATTCGTGAGTTCATTATCTTCTGGTCTAACCATACTGTTAAACGAAGATTTAGAAGTGTTGCTTTATTAATTTACACGAAAGGTCATGACAAGTTTATAAAATCCTCATTTGTTGTACACTTTTCAAGTCTCACTATTTAGAAAAACAAGCATACCCAGTAAGCATTTGAAGCAAAACCGGATAGTAATCATTAAAGAATTAAATTAATTTTTGACATTCACTGTAATAGGACTATTCTTACGTACTGTTTTCATCATACTGAATCATTCTTCAAGCTCAAGGTAATGACTAAGGTTACTCAACTTACAATTTACTTATATAAGTGAGGTCTCCTTCAAATAACTGGGTTTATATCCTGGTAATTGTCCGGGTAATCGATTAGAATGATTATTAGTTATCTGTCTCTTTAGAAATGAGTTGTCAATTGTGAAAATGTAGGTCATAAAACAACCAATAATTATTCATTCTTACCCACGTATACTACTGAATACATTCTAACACAAACAGCAAAGCGCATATCATCATTAAGGCGCACATACGACATTATTATTAATCAAAACCAAGGTTCTCAATTCTCTCCGATGGCCCTTGACCACTAAGCTACTGAGATGTGGTTCGGTTAACTTGAAACTTAGCTTGACAATTATACAACTAAATTGATGAGAGTTGTTTCACCCATAACGCGTATATTGTTCAATAGTACACTAAATCATATCAGTCCGATACAAATACCATCTATAAATTAAACTTCACAAAAATCTCAACCGCTCGCTTGAAGAGGTTTAGATCAGATTCCCGGGCGAAACCCTTTTATTAATTTTAACTTTATTAAATCAAAATTTTACAAATACAATTTCTTATTTAGTATCTTCAATTAATTCGACTATCGAGTACTTTTAAGCTATTCATTAAACTATAGATGAACGTTCTTATCAAATATTTTGCTTATCGATTTACTTTCATATAAATTTGATTGTCAGTTTATTATTATTATTAATACTATTACTATTAGGCTCCTTATGAAATCCTAACTATGACATTTTCACAAGGTATCTATAAAGTTCAACTATTTATCCTTTAGATATAGTTTGTGCAGTCATGATTAGAATGATAAAATGAATATACTGTAAACGCTATGATGTAGTCTGACCGAATTTACTATAATCAACAGTTATATACAAATTAGTGTGATCTATTGGAAGATTTTTTATGATCATTAAGTGTAAAGTTTGCTAAATTTGATTTCGTATAGTCAAATTAAAATGAGGTCATTTATAATTTTTTTATTTATGCACTTGATCTAATGATAAGTTAGAAAGATCTTTCATCATTTAGAGCATATACAAACAGTGAAAAATGGTTCCCTGAGAAAATAATTTCTAATTCACAGTGGGTAATCTATAGAATCGTAACTAAGCTAAATAGTTACTTTTTTATTAGTGAGATTTTTGAAAAAAATTAACTGCACGTTTTCTTTTTAATTAGTCTGAACTATCTGAGATCTATGTGATAGATCGTCAGGCTATTGACGATAGTCAGATACATCAAAAAGAAGTTAATCAACTTGCTGCAGCACAACATCATCAGGTTAATTTAATGCCACTTCCTACGGTAGGACAAACGAGATCAGCATCACCAACAATTAAACCTAATGATTCAAAGAAAAGTAGGTCATATTTTAAAACTTCATGTGGCAAAGAAGGATAATTACTTAATTTTTCTGTAGAAAAGCATCGTCCATTCAATAAATACCCAACATAATCTATTATAGCTATTAGTTATGCAAAAACCCAATGAGATGACTAATACCACTGAATGGTGGTTAATTGGAATAGAAATTCTACTTTCTTTAATAGTAGGTGTGTGATATCTGATAATAATCTTGTAAACTCGGTAGTATCTCTCAAAGAGAATCCCGGTTTTGTTCGATCACCTGAATATAACAACGAAAACGAAGATTATTACAATTGAATAGCATTTTAAAGGGAATAAGATTGATCAACTATAAATCTCATAAAATAACGTTATGAGATTTTTATATTCTTATTTATTGAACAGATTATGTGATAACATTAAAATGAATATTTGTGTCTGAATGGTACAATTTTTGAAAATATTTACTTCATAGTTAGTCAAGTGTTAAACGGTAGTTTATACTTATCCTTATTAGCAACCTTATTCAAATGATCTAAAAATGAATTATGATTACAATTATGTTTTATTATTGAGTATTACATGTAATCGACTAAAAACTCTAATCCAATTTGTCTATTTAATGGTTATAGAAAGTCTAAAAATCTAGAAAGTCCTTTGAGATAACAAACATCTGGCTTTAGGGCTAAACTTCTATACCATATATATACATATGGTGCCTACACTATCAGTTGATCATTAGACGAAACCGAACAATTGTGATAAAAAAAGATAACTTGTGTCATATGTCTGTAATACTGAAGCGATTATAATCGTTATAAATGATGCAACTTATTTCAAACTTCTGATAAGTTAATTTGCTTGATGTCTACCCCATAAGAAACCAAACAAAGCAGTTACAATTTGGAGATATAAAGACAGAGATGGATGGTGGCTAGCAGTGGAATCCAGGGCGTGCTTTTCATCCTTCTTCAACTCGTCAGCTGGATGTACCTGCACCTCAGAGCTGATGTTCACTCTGGGACTCGATCCAGTACCGTTCGCTTCAAACGTCATCACATTATTCACAAAGCTACTGAGTCCTGATAGCTACTTGTTTGTGCAATGGGGTGAAGTTTTAATTCATTTTTGTATTATTTGTTTGGATCACCCCACTGCACAAGCTAGTGGCTATCTGGATTCAGTAGCTAAGTAGATAACGTGATGGCGTCTGAAGCCAGTGGTACTGGTGTTACGTCCATATCTATACGACTATCGCGAAACACGATACGTTAGCTTATACGACCAAACTGATAACACATACACCAGTAATAACAGCTTAGAGTTCTGATTAGTCCTTTTTTCCGCCTAACCCTGCATGTTATGTCCAGAACGCTAATATCAACCTTCAAGATAAGAATCATATATTTCACACCTACTAGGTTTATATACAAATAAATCAGACCACATCACACCACAAAATAGAATATAACATTTATGCAAAATCAAGCGAAAACTGACTAAGATTGTGAGGAAATGTTACTAATAAATTGGGAATATCTCAAGAATATCTCAAGTCGTATGATAATAGTCATTATATCAAATAAAAGCTTCAAATGAAGGGAATATGAATATACATATAATATAGTCACTTATTAGTCATACAATAGGAATACACGTATAATATTAGTCCATAAGTAATTTCTAATGGTTACCATTCATTTATTCTCGTATGCATATAACAAATGGGCCGAGTCATGAAGTGAATGACAACTATGGAATCCAGATACATCTAGCTGACGAGTTTCAGAAGGACAAAAGGGGCACCCTGAATTCCACTGATAGCTACATCCCATCTATTCTACATTATCTATGAAAATGGTCATCAAGTATCAATGTGGTATGGTGAAATTCAGACTTTGAAGGTGAAGAGCAACAGATTTAACCCACTATATTTTAGACAAGTCGAACTTTTATGAACCTTGTGTAGCAGCACATGAATTATACATGTGATATATTCAATTATTTTTGAAACAATTCTGATTTATTAGTCATTAATGGGTTTGGCTTGTTAGTGTTTCTTCGTGATGAATCATGTAAACTAGGGGAGAAAAGGCTTTAAGTTGACCAACAGCCGCCTTGATGTAAAATTACGTTTTTAAAAGCTTAAGCGATGAATTTCGATCAAAAATTTAAAGATCGCGGTAAATAACAACCGTTTGAAATTAATTTCATATGAAATCACTACCCTACTCTGAGTAGTATATTTTACTGTGATAAAATTTGTATTAAATCTGTTAATTAGGATCTAATTTATTATATTACTGAATAAACATTAAAAATCTTTGAATTATTTACTGAAATACATTTTTTGATACCTTTTTTACGATGCGTATTTTAAAATGTAAACAACAGATTTATCTGACCATAATGAAAATGTTCAGTCACCAAGTCTTCCTACTCCACAAGGGCGAAATACACCAGTTAATTATGAGTTACCTCCTGTGACAAACACACACCAAGAGCCTCGACAACAACAGTTGCAGCAAAATATCAGCAGACCAAGGTAAGATATGAAATTTGGTACTTTCTTTCACTCAGTACAACGATAGAAAATTGATTTGATAGGTATTTTAAATTGAACACAATTTATATCTAAACTGAATAGAAGTTGAAGACAAGAGAATACTGAGGAGTTATTTAGTCCTAATTTGGAATTTTTCAGCGACAGTTATTCTAAACCGAAGATATGACTTACAGGCATCACTGCTGATAATTTTAAATTGAGCTTAAATTGTAATTCATATTGAGTGAAATTCGAAATCACTTTCTCATCTATGAAGACAAATTATGTGAATTCCGCATTGTTTTCCCAAGTGACCGCAGATATTTAAGAGAAATACAGAGAAAATTATGTTAAGAAATCTGATATTTTGTTGCCCATACTTTCTATTTCCACAGAACTAGAATTTAAAAGCATAAAACTCATACAATTTTCACTAAATTATAAGTAAAAGTTCGTTTGCTGAAGGATTTAGGTACAGGATGACTATCATATTTAACTGCGAAAGATATCTTTTTGAATTGTCAATAAAAACCAGGATAAAGTAGTTTACATCACTCTAATTTGAAAGTTTCAGTACACTCACTATCGAACTTCATGTATGAATCAACAACAATATTTCCTCTGTGAAATCTTAGACCTAGATCAATTGTGAAACAGTTCAGGTAAATAAAAACTTTAGACTATATGATCTTTAGATATTTTCCAAGTTATTTCATTTAAATGAACTTCTTTTTTAAGAATGATGTACAATTAACTGGTCTCGTGTGCTTCTGTTAAATGTCTAACTTCGTTGATTGATTGAAGTTAGACATTAACGTCGTTGGATGCCTGCCGGTTCAGTGATCTAGAGGTTAAGAGCTAGCCTGCGAGACCGAAGGTCCTGGGTTCGAATCCCCTGCGCGGGGTCGTGGATGCGTACTGCTGAAAAGTCCCATACTAGGATGAGACGACTGTTATTACTTTTTATTTCTTTGAAAGAAGAATATACAATAGACATGTTTGTTTGGTAAATAAAATAGACGATTTTAGAGAACTATTTACTTTGTGATTGTAAATGAAAACTTTACAAAAACGTTTTGATAAAATACTAAACAAATTTACTAGTTTATCTACCAGTTACTAGTAGTAACGAGGAACCTAAATAAATTATGTTCTGATTAAGCTAAAATTAAAAAGGCTGATCTTTTGGAGATATATAACTACTCTTAATTTATAGTTGAAAGCGTGAGTCAATTGAAGCTAGACCACCATAGAAAACCTGGAAGCACTGGAAGGCCGTTTCTTCCTGTTGTGGGACTCCGCAGTAGTGCGCATCCACGACGGCGCCTGGCGAGATTCAAACCCAGGACCTATCAGTCTCGCGCCAGAGCAGTTAACCGATAGACCACTAAGCCGGCATCCGATGGTGTTTATGTCTAACTCCAACCAATCCACAAAGTTGAGCAACCGTTCATCAATTGTCTTCAGTGAGTTCCTATCTCACAACAGACGTGGTTTGAACTCCACTGGTTACTGCTTCTCACTAGAACTCCTGGATTTACCTCCCGAAGTCAGTCACTAGTCAGCATATGATTATATTAATTATAGAAGGGGTTTTGTGGAGACTTAGTATTTATCATAGTTAAAAGCGTGAGCCAGTGCTGAGGAGTCCCATAATAGGACGAAACGGCCGTCCAGTGCTTCCAGGTTTTCCCTGGTGGTCTAGCTTCCATTGACTCACGCTTTCAACTATGAAAATACTAAATCTCTACAAAAACCCCTTCTGGCTGTTAATTTAACCTCTTTATCTTATCACCTAATTATGAAAATAGTCTTCCCAGTATTTTATATAAATGGAACATCATCTCTCGTCCTTAATATAACTATTGTTATTTTTAAAGCAATGAAACACTAAATACTATAAAAGTAATAATTTTATATTTAACATTAATACTATTAAATGTATAATTAGTAATGTATTATTCACCTTTTTCGTTGATTTTTTATATATATCTAGTTCACATTATGAACAAAGACCATCTATTAATTTACCAGTAATATATCCAGTATCAAATCAATCTGTAAACAGTTCATATGAATTAACTTCATTGCAAACTGAGTTTATGCCAAAATCGTTAACACCTATTATTCATACTGGTGATTCTGGTTTAGATACTATTTCAGCAGCAATCGGTCATCAAAAAGATGTTTTACAACGTTTAGAATATGAACAACAAAAACGTATATTACAAATGCAAGCAGAAGCTGAAGAGCGTCGTCGTCGTGAAGCTGAACTATATGCAAAAGAATTAGCTAAAAATGCTAATCATGCTAAGTAGGTTTTGTATTCAATTAAATTATTCACGTTGATCTGTAACGGTGATTGAATATTGTATTTAGTCTTCAGTTAAATTGTTTATAATTCACAATGGAATTGTTTTACACCTAAGTCGAATTATCCGTAAATACGACTTCTGTCAAGAGAGGGGTCAAAATAATAACATGTAATTTAACAATTATTATTTCATTGATACGGAGGTATTCATTATAACTCTGCCTACATTTGGCGCATATCCTTCCATAGTATAATTAGTTTATTTTACTTGAATACAATGTACTGAAAGATAGTAAGCTTCTGTAAAGTTATGCTGTTTTATTGATTGTATATAATTAGGCGAATGGAAGAGCTAGAGAAAGAATTAAGAAGATGGGCTGATGAGGCGAAACAGACAAGAGAACGTTTAGATCAATTAAAATCAGCATGGGATACAGCATTAAAATCAAAAGAGGAAGAGATCACTACTTTAAAACAAGGTTTAGAACTCATGAAAAAGAGCAGAGATGACATAGATGGTAAACCCACAGCAAAAGAAATTGCTGCACAAACAGAAATACGCCAACTTCAAATTCAGTTAACCGAAATGAAGGAAAACTATAGTCGTGTTAGGAGAGAATTAGAAGAAAGACGTAAAGCTGCAGACGCCAGAATGGACGCTGTAGGAGATGAAATAAAGGATTTAAGGCGAAAAATGTCAGATGTACATGCTACATTAAAAGAACCTAGACCTGTGAAAGTTACAGTTAGTTCCCACCCTAAATCTGTCTGTGACGTAGGAACAGAAGCGGTAGAGTAAGTCGATTTTTATTATGTTTTGTTATTTCTTAAATATATCCTAGTTCAGAATTTGTAAAGCATATATAGTCACTCAAAACTTTTATAGAAGTTATCATAGTTCTGAGAAGAATTTCTATCTGAAATATATTCTATTTTAAAGATTTTCAGTGATTTCTTTTGAGACTTTAAAGGAATACATCAATCTCTGAAATAGTAAAAGAATTCCTAAAATATACTTCAGAGCTACACCACACATTATTGGTATGTAAATACAACCAAGATTTCTACTCATACTATCAATACACTAACCAACGCAATATGTTGTTGTAATCCTGATATGCGTTTATTTTTCAAACAACCTTATCTATCAGAATTAAAGAAATAGTTAGCGTTACTTAAAACAGTGATAAATATCCTACTACGTCAAGAAAATCAACTTATTTCCCGTTGATTATACTCGATTTAATAGGATACACATTTAAATCGGAACTTCCTTTGATGTATTTGATCAAAACATTTAGCTTAATATATATTAGATATCTAAAGTAAACAACAAGCAGTTCAAAATTTAATCTGACTGAATAATTTTAGAATAATGAGGAATGGTAGTTTTTCATATTATCTGATTACCTATTGATTATGAATATTAGACGGGGTAATACTATAAATATAATAGTTATAATATATTCCTGATTTGCAATAGCGGTAAAGCTGATGTAAACCAGTGAATATGATATGCTCTCCGTGAAATCGGAATATGATGAGTCCAGTGACTATTCCAGGTTATTAAGGAGTTTCAAGATGAAACGAAAAATTTATCAAGTGCTCTTTCAATTCCAACAATTCTCCGGCTGATGCCAGTTTGTGAAAAGAATTACCTACAAATTTAACGAATCCCATCCGATATATATATATATATATATATATATATATATATATATATTGTCCTTGGTCTTACTTCCTATCCGGTTATTGCTAACCATCGATGTACCTTATACCACTGATTGATGATGTCTTTTTGGTAGGCATTTTCTGTTCATTCTCAAAGCATGGACATTGGTGTTTTAGGTCACTTGAGTTTAGCGGGGTGCCATTTTACAGTTGAGCTGCTGAAGACTATATTGTTGAGTTATTATACTGAGGCTGAGTCAAATCAGAATGAGAGTTTTGAAGGTGCCTTTTCATCCATTCAGTAGTTTTATACGTTTTAAAGCACTCTTTATGAGGGGATTTGTAATCCCTTAGGGATGCTACACCTCTCAATTTCGCTTGGTGATAGATTGTAAGTTGACGATTCCTTTTTTTAATTACTCCAAAGTTTCTATTATATTTGGTGTTTTCACATTCATATATTAATCCACATTTCTCTATTAGTCTAGGATTTTAATGATCATTGCCGATCTGTTTAATCTTAGTTGAATTAGTAATTCACTTTAAAGGGAGCAATCCTTTAAGTTGTTCTATGCCTAATTTTAATTGTCCTACCCAAATCTTGGTATCAACTTGTCTAATACTAAGATGATCATTTATATTGCCATTTAAAAACCTCACCATTAATTTGTTTCGTCTTTTATGTGTGCGATATACAACATGTTCAGTTCATGTTTTCCATTTTTTAGAGCGATCGATTCTAGTTCACATATTAGGATGGCGATTATTGAAGAGTCCACCAACCGCAGCTTCGTCTTGAGACATTTTTTTTGTATTTTATTACCGGTTGTATCTTTATCAATGAGGATCATGGCTTTTCAGTGTTGATTTTAATTAAGTCATCTGGGGTACAATCACTTCGTATTATAGTTTCGAGATAATTGGAAGAAGATATTTTCCCTACTTCGTTTCGGTTTCATCAGGCCTCTTGGCCGTCACTTTGCTTATTGATCAATTATTGTGATATCATTACTCACGCTTACGTACTACATAAAAATATTTAAATCATATCAGTAGTTATTTTGACAATTAAAACATAGGCGTATGCAATGTATATTATTATTACGAATATTAGTAAATATCTTGCATTACTTATTACATAAATGACTACTTATTGAATAATTCTCAACTAACGAAATTCTTTTAATATGGAATTATAGTTATCCGTACTAGAGAAATGTTTCAATATATTGAAATCAAAAATTTAATCACTTGCTTCCGTTTTGTTTCAACACTCCCTATTTCAACTTATAACTTTCTATACATGTCATGTTTGTTTCATTTCTTCATTTTGATTAAATAACTTGAATTTTAAGTAGTTAAAATTAAACTATTGAAATAAAGATTGATGGATTGGAGAGTTTATTAAGCGATGATTCATGTAGAACGAATCCATTCATTTAAATAATGGAATGTAAAAAGTTTCTTTTTCAATACTGTTATATAATCTTTATTCTCCAATTCGAGAATTGAAGGATTAATATCCAAATATTAAGAACGAAGACTAAATTTCTTTTAGAAGTAAAATGTTTACAGTTGAATTCATGGACCAATAAAAGCTAGGCTAACATAGAAAACTTAAAAACACTGGACGACCGTTTCGTCCTAGTATGAAACTCCTCAGCAGTGCTTATCCACGATCCCACCCGAGGGGACTCGAATCCGGAACCTATTGGCTGTCCAGTGCTTCTAGGTTTTCCATAGTGATCTTGCTTTAATTGAGTCATAAATTCAACTATATAATTACTAAAATCTCAACAAAACCCCATTCTATTAAATATTCACTTTATCAGTTACTAACATCAGAGATAAAGTTTAATTCCTAAGGTTGTATTATTTATTATTTATCTAAACACATAAATATTGGTAAAAAAAGGCACCGAATACATATGCGCCACACAAATCTCATTTGATTGGCGTGCGGGCTATGATACTGCACAGGTGTCCAAACCGAAGCAGGTGGTTTTCTTAGGGGGCCACATTCGGATCCTTTGACCTAAAGGTCTGATCCACAAGGCAGTGGAGCATCGTGAGGAGATGCAGTCCCATGCTGGTAGGTGACCAACAATAAGTTCATACTCCATTTGTTCCCTTAAGATACTTGAGCTCATATGCACCATTGGTTTGGAATCAGGGTTTTCCAACTCCCATAGATGGACTTTCTGTGTCCACCAACTCGGTTAAAGCGCCGGACATTCGCTTTTCGTCCTCTCAATTTCATAAACAACAATAATGCCACGAGAAGGCAATGATTAGGACTTCCCTGGCAGAAGTAATATACACGTGGCCATGTGAGAGTATTTCAAGAGGGAGAGCGGACTCTGCCCACTCTCGGCCGTACCAGGGAATTCGGGGGCTCGTGTATATACAGTTATTCATCAGGCGCAAAATCTTCCCCAGCGTGAAGCTTATCGTTCCAAGAAATATGTTCCAAAAGATTTGAGATCTAAGGTTGATTTTCTCACTTATGTATAAAAAACATTATTAAACAATTGAATCACATTGTTTCAATAAATAACTTGGTGACTGTATTGTATTCTATTACTGGAAAAAAAGATTTAATTATTAATAATAATAATAATCAACAAATATCCAAAAACTGGTTGAATTACAGACGACATTCATTGTTTCCATTTCTATATTACAACATACACATACTTGGACAATAAAGTACAAAATTTTTCGTGAAAAAAATTATATCACGAGTTTAGCTTAAATAAAAATGTATAACATTTCATGCTTATCAATTTTCTTTTTACAAATTTTAGTGAAGTCAAAAAGTCACCACCACCACCACCTAAAATTAGGGTAAGTTTGTGTAATGTATGATATATATATATATATATATATATATATATATACTTATGTACTATAACAATGATAAAGTTAGTCGCCAACGCAATTGTTACAATTATCTATTTAAACGAATATTTACCATTGTACATCAATTCAGTACAATGTTCATTTACTAAAATACGCAAATGTGCGTTAAAATTTTTTTTAATTATTCACTAATAATTATACTAAGGAGTAAGAATAATTTTACAAAGAGTTAGTACGAATTATGTTTTCAATTCAGCATAATTGTTTTGGTTTTACAATTTAACAATATAAACTAGTTGCTTTTATAATAATTTTGTAGTTAAATTAATGAGTCATTTGAAGCTAGACCACCATAGAAAACCTGGAAGCACTGGACGGCCGTTTCGTTATATTGTGGGACTTCTCAGCAGTGCACATTCACAATCATAGCTAGCGAGATTCAAACCCGGGATCTATCGGTCGAGCGGGCACACGCTAAACCTCGAGACCACTGAGCCATCATCCAACGGTTGAATATTTCCTGTGCACTATTCTTACAGCAAATGATATAAATGGTTCGATGTTTTTTAAAACTTCATAAATAATATATTGAAGGATATGCGTGATGTAAACAGTAGACGGATGTGCCTAGCAGTGGAATCCAGGACGAGCGTTTCCACTGCTAGCCACTATCCATCTTTTCTTATGGTGTTTGTGAGTTAAGACTATATCGAGGCAATACGCACAGTACACATATATGCCAATAAGAGACTGATCGATTGCAGTTCTAAACATCAATGTAAAGATTCAAACAAACAATACTAAGTGAATTTAAACTTCATCCCATTGCACAAGCAAGTTGCTATCAGAACTCAGTAGCTGAGTGGATAACATGATAGAGTTTGGAGTGAATGGCACTGGGTTTGAGTCCCAGATTGGATATCAACTTTGAGGTGCAGGTACATTCAACTGATGAGTCCCAAATAAGAAGAAACGTGCGTCCTCGATCCCACAGCTGGTCACTATCCATCTTTGGTCATTATGTTTCTAGTGGCTTAAATTAATAAAAGATCTTTCATTGAAGAATTACATAATACAAACGATTTGTGAAGACTGTTAAATTTTGTAATTTATCTTACAGGCTAATATCAGTCATGCAAACATCGAAAACTAAGGATCACTGGACAGCTGTTTCGTCCTAGTATGAAGCTTCTCAGCAGTATGCGTCTCGCCGGTATTCGAACCCATGATTTTCATGTTTAATGAGGAGTGCTTAGTTTCTATATCACTAATTCGGTATCCCGTTGTTTACATGTTTGACTTCAATTAACTCAACCAATCAACTCATTCATCTTCCAATGTTAGTAATGAACAACTGGCTTAATTTCAATATGGTTATTGTGCAATCGTACGTTATCCCGTTAGAACTATGGAAATGGCCTCATGAGACTAGCTGGTGGCGACAACATGGTTATTATTACTATTATTATTGCGGTTAATGATGGAAGCTAATTGTTTGCCATGAAATCTGAAGATCCTGGGTTTGACTCTCAGTAGTATGCGTACTTTTGAATAGTCTCGTAATAAGACGGAAAAGTTGTGCACTGTTTCCTGACTTTTGATGTTTGTTTAACCGATGTCCACCTGGGATAATAATCATTCAATTACATCGTAGTTTATGATGAAAATTCATATTGGTTCACCAGTATTTTGTCCATAATGTTAGGTGCAAAGTGGATAATTATTAACAAATTTTAAAATGTAACGATAAATGAAACAGGTTAATATTAAATCTCCCAGAATTAGTAATTGCCATCTGTTTTAAGTTAGTGCATGGAATTACTAAACCTGATAAAATCATATATCTTTTAGTAATATGAAATAAATAGTTACCTTCTCGAAGTAGTATGTCTCTTTGATACCATTTTTAGCTGCAAATTATAAAAATATTTACTTATTTAAACTCTCAAAATTTCGACTTCTAAAACAAACAGCAGTATCGTCAAGTGCATTTTAGTCAAATCTGATAAATAATAGACACTCCCTAAAATTTTTTTATTCATAACTGCTTATCAGTTTAAAATTCCAATTCCATTATAAAATATACTGAAGGAATGAACCTAGTTAATGGATCTAATATACTTATAGGCATGTTAATTACATCGAGAAAGTCAATTTAAAGACATTGTGAAATGCCTCAAAATATTGGACAAACTGAGTAAATTTCAAGTAATCAGTTTGTGGTTTCAAGGTGACAGATGAAATTTTGACCAAATATCAAAAAGTTAATTTAAGAAATGTGAATTATTCACGACCCTGAGCTATATCTAAACAGCTATAATCAGACATATAAGATAAAAATCTAGTTAGCTGATTTGTAAAAATTTCTCTAGCCTTATTGTCGATTTCATTAAAAAGTGATACCAAATAAGAATTATTGGAAACCGAAAGGAATTAGAAAGTTGCTTTGTTTTAGTTTCGTACTCTTAACGAATACTAAGCATGATACATTATAATACTACGTTCGACACCATGTGAAGTCAAAGATGCATACCACTGAGGAGTATCAAACTAGAAAGAAATAGTTTTCCAGTGCTTTCTTCAGACGATCTCAGTATGTTAGTATGTAAACGATTACAGTGTCGCTGACACTAACTTCAATTTTGAGAGAATGACTATTTACTACTCAGTTTATTTAGTAGTATAACGTTCTAGTGAGAATCAAAATTTCAAATCTATTTATCATTATTCCTTATAGCTTATTTTTATATGATCTTGATAACACTAGAAACTGTAGATTATAGAATAAAAATAACATTAACATAAATTCTCCCGAGTCACTTAAGTGATTTTACATATAGTTTTATTTTGAATGTTAGAAATGAAAAATCAAGCTATGATATGTATGCATATACAGATATACAAATAAAAGTATTTTTAAGCTATTCCCTTAATTATGCTTTTCTAAAAAATGGGTAACAACTTTGCAAAGTTAATGGTACTTTATTTAACTATTTTAAAAGCATCCTTAAGTAGTCACTAACGGCTTATATGAATGTGTATCTAATTGTTGGGAGGGGGGAAAGAGTCACAATGAAACAGTTTTCTACATTTGTAAATTTGTAAAGTTAAAATTACAAAATTTTTATTATATTTTAGTACATTAAAGAGGAATTGTCGTTCATGTTATAAATATAAATTAATATCTAGGTGAAAAGATCAAGAGCTATTATACTTTAACTTAAAGATAATTTATATAATGAGAACAAAATGGGACTGATAAATAGGATATGATCAAAATGTATATTATTATACATATTAGTAAGATGTATGAAAAAAAAGATTTTTTCTGGTCAGCGCTTAGTGACATCTGGAGAGCAAAGCTCAGGAAAAAGTTGATCAGGGAATTCCCGTCAGTGGCTTATGCTCCATGAAGGGTAGAAGGCTCAAATAAGTGTACGAAAAAAAAGAAGTAAGAATATTTTTTTAACTTTAACCAACAATCCATCAAAAATGGAATGTTACCAAAGAGGTAATTGTAGAATCTAAATCTAGACCGGAGGACGATTTAGTGGTGCGCATGGGTTTAGGTAATATCAACAGTCGATACTTCACAATAAATATTGTTTAGTAAAATGAGAATCCGTACAAAACAATGAGGACTAGTGGTGCTAAATGGATATATATATATATAAATATACAAAATAAGTTGCATACCTGAACAATGCTTCCTCTAACAGGTGCAATCACTATTACAACACCAAACCTTTAAGATCAGTTGAGAAACAGTTAAAAGGATCCTGGCAATCCAGAAACAACGCGCTGCCGAAAAATCTAAAATACCACCAATCAGACCACTATAAAGTTAAAAGTTAATATTAATATTTCCTAACAACTAGGGGAGTAAATATCTATCTGACCAAGAATAGATCGAGTCAAATAAATCAAAAGAAGTCAATCAAGAACATGGTCACCCAATATGACAGCCGCTCAAAATCAGAATTTCAAGTGAAACAAAAGTATAACTGCAATCAAAAATCTTAATGACATCGAAGCATTGACCTCAACATAATAATAATAACAGTTCCAAGCAAACGAAAAGGGTAAAAGTTATGTGTAAATACAGACAAGAAGAGAATAAAGCGATATATATAATGGAGAAACAATAGAATAGTCCTGTGGTACAATATACATGAAGGGATTTTCTCCTATATTCGCACGAGGATATGATAAAATGGATTTAATTGTAATCGTTAAATAAACATGAACCTCTTATTATTGTCAATGAGCGTAGCTCTATCATCGAGTGGTCACATTTACTGTACAACATTATTTGTAAAATTCAAAAGAAAATGAAAACTACTTTTTAAAGTCTACTATTTGACAGTCCTTTGATAAGAAGTGCCCACATGATCCAACAAAATGAATGATGACATTTCTCATCTATCAAGAATTTAAACAGAATCATTTATTCGGCCTTATAATATTATATAAAATTCTATGTTACAATAAATTTATTATCATCTGAGTAAAAAGAATGATTATTTCTTGGATTATTTGCGGTGTGTGTTACTGATGTCGATAGATATAAGTAGTATGTATCATCAATCCAAAATGAAATACCTGGCAGCAGAAGGTTAAGAAGACCAAAAAAGAGAATGAGAACGAAGAATGACTGGTGTGAAAACTAAAGAACAATGAAGTCTGAGACTATTGATTGACAATTCGCAGAAGGAACAGTCAAGTTTGAGATAATTGATTAACACTACAAATAAAGTATTTACTGTATGGTTCTCAGATTTTACTAAGATATTCTGTATTCTAGTTCAATACATATTAAGTATTAAATGGTAAACTCATTTGCATGAATGATTTTTCACTTTGACAAAAACCAATTTAATAATTAGATCTTAAGTAATAAAGTAAAACTGGATTGACTAACAAGTTAAATGATGTAGTTTAGACAACTGTAGTTTTCTTTAATACAGTATTCAAACCAATAGATT